TATAATTCCTACCCTTTTGAAAGCAAAAGGGGAAAAATTAACAATATCATAAGCTTAAAATGACATATTTTCAGAAGATGGATTATCTATCTCCATATTACGCTACATTCATGATACAGAATATTATTATACAGCCTTTAAAAGGGAAACTCTTTATGTAATAAGTATACCCAAAATGTATTATTTGGTACCAAAAAGGAAGGTATAACTATCACCACCTGGTAAAATATTTGTATGTAACATTACTACTATGTGGACTTGTATACATAAGTCATGTCTGAAAGAAACACAAGAACTGTTAATGGTTGCTGTGTCTAGGAGAAATGGGCTGTGCAGAAGAGAGAATGAATTTTTATTCTACTTTTTTTCTTTAGAAAGGTCTAAGAATATATTACCTATAATACATGTACATAAATTTTAAAAAAATGAAAAGACAGGAAGAGGTAAATTTAGAAAAAGATCACGCTTTGCTAGAATCTTTGGCAAATTCTCTATGAAGCAGTAAAGAACAGGTATAAACTGAAGGATGTATAGGAATGGAGAAGTTGGAGTTAGGTCACCTTCTTCTCAACGGGTAGGACACAGGATTTTGCACAATTAATCATTTTAAGAAAGAATTAAAATTTCTGGTTAGGGTTGGAAGCATCCAAAAATGATGAGGAATTAAAGTTTAAAAATAAAATTGTGCTTCTGCTTAGGGAAGGAAACCATCAACCATAAGAAAACTCAACCTACAAAACAGGAATAAATACTTGTAAATCCCCTATGTTATAAATTGTTAATATCCAAAATATATAAGGTTCTCATACAACTCAACAGCAATAAAACATAAAAACAAAACCCACTTTAATTAAAAACAGGCAGAAACTGAAAGACACCCACATAGTCATCATGTTCGTAAAAGGTGCTCAATTTTATCAGAAATTCAAGTCAAAATCACAATAAAATAATCATCTAATTTCTGTCAGAAAAGCTATTATGAAAAAGAAAATAAAGGCCCTCCCTGGTGGCGCAGCAGGTTAAAGCACTGCACTAAGAAGCTTAAGCCACTTCCGCATGAGTTCAATTCCAGTCTGCCCCAGAGGAGATCCACATGGCGCGGCAGACCTCTCCTGACCCTCCTGCTGCTCCCCTCAGTAGTGTACTTTGTCGATCTGTCTGTTCTGCTGCCCACTCTGTCTCTGGTGAATCCTCTCACCCTCCACATCTCTGGCCTGTACTCCAGTTCTATATGAATAAATAAATAAAATCTTTAAAAAAAAGAAAAAGAAAGAAAATAAGTAAGTGCTGATAGATTTAAGAGAAGGGAAAGTGTGAACTGTCTAGTGGGGATGTAAATTGGTATAGCTACTATGGAAAACAGTATGAAGACTCTTAAATAATTGAAAATATTCTACCACATGATCAACCTATCCATTTATGGGTATATATCCAAAGGAAACAACAACAGGATATTACAGATATATCTGTACCCTTATGTTCATTACACCACTATTCACAACTTCAGTAGAGGGAGTAGAAAAAAAAACAAGGACGCATTATAAAAGAAGATCAAACAAAGTCTTAGTGACTGAATATGAAAAAAAAAAAAAAAGACAAATTATGTTGTTTTTCCATCCTGAGGTAAAGGGGAGGTGAGTTTGAGTTTAAATATGCTAATTCTAGGTAATGGTGAGTCAATAAGCAACTATGATTTCAAAGGCAACTGGAAAAATATTGGCACTGGAATTTAAAAAAATCGATGTATCCATTTTCTAGGGCTGCTGTATTAAATTACCATAACTGGGTGACATAAAACAACAGGAATTTACTTTTTCACAGTTCTTCAAGAAACAGTCTTGTCTTGAAAGTACTGTCAGGGCCTAGCCCTGTAAAGACACTAGGACAGGATCATTCTTCCCTTTTCCCAGCTGTTTGTGCTTTCTGACCTTCCTTGGTTTGTCTGCTGTGGTACCTATATGTCCTTCAGGTACCTGTCTTTTCATATAAGGACACCAGTAATTGGATGTAGGCCCACCCTAAATCTAGGATTGTCAAGTTCTAGATCCTATATAAACCCATTTGCAAAGTATCTAGCTTTTGATAAGATCACACTTACAGATAGTGGGGTGAGGACTTCAATATACCTTTGGCAGGTCATTCATACTACTATTCAAACTATTCAAATAACTACAGTTGAGAACACACCCCAAAATGGATGGTTTTTCTGACTGGATACAGTACATATAAGCTAAGATCATGGATTCAGTTATATCCAAATTTAGAAAATAGGTAAAGGAAGTGATGGCAAGAAAGCAAACAGAAGAGAGGTGAGATGCAAGAACATCTGGACAAACAAAGGAAGAAAAGGCAAGATTGGATAATCTATCACATTGAATAAGGCCAAGAAGCTAAGGAAATTAAGTGTTGAAATGCTAGGCAGGCATGAATTCACATGATCAGGCACAGGTACACATGCACACACACACATACAGTCGCAACACACAGAACCTCAGCTCAATCATTAAGAGAGTTTGTGCAATAAATAAAAAATAAAGTTTCTTCAGCTTCTCTAGAAGAAAACAAATAATTCTGGGTCCTACTGAGCAATACATCAAAGAACTAACCAGATGTCCAGATCAAAAGAAGAAATAATTAGAAAATTGCATAAAGATGTCTAGTTTGCCAAAGGCAACATACTAAAAGAAAAAGGTTACTTAATATAGGGGCATAAAATGGTCAAAGCAGAGGATGAGAATAAAATCAAACAGCTCTCAGTGAGGTCAGTAGTAGCACATTTCAGAATTTTAGAAATCAGACTATTAGAAAGACAGTGTAGACTTCTTTCAGATTCCAAACACAAAGGATATTTACTGTAACATACTGGATGAGGATAGCAGGAATAAGGATTTGTGATCAAGGCTATTTTCTATTTCTAAATGAAGAAAAGACTGTGGTAGCAACTCAGGAGAATAATAACTTACAGTCTTAAAAAATTAGAAATATGAAACAATTCTAAAAACACTACTTGTCTATTATTTAATATGAAGAAATATAAAGGGATTATAGCCATAAAATGAAGTCTTTGGGGCCCTGACTTGGCCCCTGTGGAATTTGCTTAGTTTCAATTTTTGTTCCTTGCTCATGCTCAGGTATACCACAGTTTGTAGTATCTTTTAGCAGGGATTCCCTAGCCTGACTAGTGCAATCACTCATATCACATAACTGCATCCAAATATCACTTATTCTTTCACAATTTACTAAACTAACAAGCAGTTACCTTGGCATACTGATATCTGGGGAAAAAAAAATCAACCCTATTTTCTGGCACTGTGAGCTCCTCCATTAGAAAATTATTTAGATATAACACATTATTCCTTTGGTGACAACATAGCATGTTAATTTGGGTACCATAGTTGCATTGTTACTATTATTATTTATTATTATAATTTCAATTTGCCTCTCTCTTGGAATCTAGCAGGAGCTGCAACCTGACTCTCTTCTTAAGGCCAAGCTTTACATGATTTGTCAGTGCATAATTCTGACATTGGAAAACAACTGTGCTTCTGATTTGGAAGATGACATTTTATTCCTAAGTATTAGACAAATGAATCTTAATAAAAATAAGATTAGCTTACTATATGGGTCCTTACGTTATTGATTTTCAATATTTTTGTTCATTTCTGACCTGAGTTTCTATTTACTTTTTTAACATATATGTTGTAATTTATAAAATACAGTGGAAAACTATGGTTTTATTATTATTATTATTTTTACATTAAGGAAACAAATGTCTTAGTAGTTGGTTAGGAAGAATTCACTTCTTGAGCATTGAATTTATTAAGCTTCCAAGATGTAGCATTTGAACACAAACTTAATAAAAATCCTACCAATACTTTTACAGAACTCAACACATTGACTGTAAAGGTAAGTTGTAAAAGCAAAGATCAAGATTAGCCAAACCAATCTCAAAAAAGTATGAAAAGGTAGGATTATACAAAAAATTAGCCTGATAACAAACAACAAAACATACGGTTTTATGTTCAATCACATTTACTTAAAACTTCCTTGAAAGTCCATATGAAAAGAGTGAGGAATGTACAGATTTTATGTGCATGGAAAGCAGTTTATAAATGGGTTTCTAAAAATAGCATTCCCCAGGAAAATTTGTACTTAAAAGGGGAACAATAGTGATAAAGTTTGGGGAAAGGTTCCCCTAGAAAATACTATATAAATGAGTATATAAAAGTAATTGCAATCTATTCTACTTAAACTCTGCCCCCCCCCCTTTTTTGTTACGGTGTAACGTCTACTTACAAGGCAGAGAGCAAAATTGCATTATTTGCGAACACACACATGAATTCTAGAATCAGGTTAAAAACCCACGAATACAGCAGAAAAATTATAATATGGAAAAAAATTTAATGTATTTTTTCCAACATACAAACTTTTTTTTTTTTTAAAGATTTATTTATTTGTACATACAGAACTGGGGTATAGGCCAGAGGCACAGGGGTGGCGAGAGGCTTCACCAGAGACAGAGTGGGGAGCCGAACAGGCAGATTGACGAAGTACACTGCTGAGGGGAGCCATGGGCGGGTCAGGAGAGGTCTGCTACGCCATGTGGTCACCTCCGGGGCAAGTGGGAATCGAACTCATGTGGAAGTGGCTTTGGCTTCTTAGTGCTGTGCTTTAACCCACTGCGCCACCAGGGAGGATCTCAAACATACAAACTTTTATTCCTACTTGGACCTTAGTAAATTAGGACGTTAAAGTTTTTTTTTTTTTTTTTTTTTTTTGCTTACATCTAAAAACTACATAAAATGATACATTTATTTTTTATTGTATTGCAGAACTATATATTTAGAGAATCTCTGCCTAGTAAGAATCTTATTGGTATAAGTATTCATCTTAGTAACTTATTAGTGGTCTATATGGAAAAAGACAATTTAGGTAAGAGAAAAAAGGTTGTGGTTCTCTGCTCCATCCTAAAAGCATAAAACAAAACAAAAATTACATACCTGATCTGTTTCATCCACACTCAGGGATTTGATTACACAGGAAGCTGACCGCTCCTGAATGTGAGCAAGGTCCTGAGGGGCACTCTGAGATCCTGTCATTGGAGGCAATGGAGCCCGCCTCTTCTTGGGAGCATCCGATGGCAGTGTGTTTGAAATATATGGTTTGGAAATGGTGTTGGACCTTGTAAAAGTTGGGCGATGCTTATTTATTAGAGGAGTTGCAGGAGCACTTGCAGTCTAAAAAAGAGTGAAAAGGTAAAATCTGTAAGTATTTTCAATATAAAAAGCATATGAATTTAAACAAAATATTAGAGGACTCAATCTTACAAAATGTTACCTAAAAAATACTTACTTGCTCTCGCTTTTTCTTACTGCGTTGAAAAAAGCTGAAAAACCCTTTATTTTCTTTCTCCTTCATAATATCTAGGTTCTGTGATATTTGGCAGGACTCTAAAAATAGAAGGAAAATACCTTTCTTTTATACATAAAATGGTATGTTCACTTGCAAATTTTTCTTCTCTAACATTTTATTTAATGATAAATGCTGCTAAGTATAGTTTACTATGAACTATGAACTCTAGTAGGCATTTTATATTTTATTTGTCAAAGCAACAAGTAAGCAGCATTATTTTTCCTATTTCACAGCAGAAGAACCTACTTTAAAAAACTAAGATACATACTCAGGGTTGAAAATCAGTCTGTTTTCTGTACATAATTACTAACCTTTCAGAACTAAAAAAAAAAAAAAAAAAAAACTTTGAATTAAATGAGATAGGAAGCTACCACATAGTCTGTCCTTTTGCTTATACTGAATTATGTTTTTTCCAGACATAAATGATGATGAAATATTTCCAGACATAAAACATGATTCATCCTAATTACCTTTTATTTTGTTAAATGTTTCACAAACATTATAGTTTTTTAAATGGTGGTTCATTTAACATTTCAACCACCTTCACCCCACAGAGAACATGTGACAATGTCTGAGGACTATTTTGGTTCTCACAACTAGGGAATGGTAGAGAGAATGGACAGCTAGCAGCTGCTAGGTAGAGGCCAGTGATGCTGCAAACATTACAGAACACAAGACAGCCTCCTAGCAACAAAGAGGTATCCAGACCCAAATGGCAGTAGTGTCAAAACTGAGAATCACCTTTTAATCAGATTTGAAAATGTCAAACCTCTAAGGCGTGTATGTAATATTTAATTTTCTAAAAATCATGTCATATTGTCAACAGAAAAGTGCGTCCAAACAGTGACAAGTTTAGATGTGCTGGCCCACGCTGGCCCACTCTGGCCCAGACTGTCTCTGAACACTGTGTCCCTTTAAAAGGACCCATGAATGCTTAAGAATGGTTGATTATTTGTTGTTATCCAGGAACATGCAATATAAGCCTGGTCAAAGCAAAGATAAAGCTACCGAAGCTTACTGGAGTTGTTCTGAAAGGACTCAAGACCCAATCTGATATGGTGTCAACTGGCAACAGTAAAGAAAATTTGGGTATTATAAGAAATAATAAATTGAAACATCACATTTATTTAATTTTATACACTTAAAGTGATGTTGAGAAGTGTTTAATATTTATATTTGTAATGCTAAGGCATCAATTTATTATTATTTTTTAAAAACAACCTGATGAACATTTTCATCCTGCCTTTTCTGAATGAATTCTTTAGCTAGATAGCATAGGGATGTTTTATTTTTTTAGAAATATCTTAACAATTAAAGGGACCTTTGTAATGAACTATGGCCATTTTTCAATTCCTAATTAATGTATAGACAATGATTATTGATGATTAACATAAAAATTATTATGTTCTAGACACTGGAAGTTCTAGCCAGAGCAATAAGACAGGAAAAAGGCATACAAGGACTCCAAATAGGGAAAGAAGAAGTAAAACTATCCTAATTTGCAGATGATATGTTAATTTATATGGAAAATCCTAAAAGCTCCACAGAGAAAATAATCAAAACCATCCACCAGTTTAGCAAGGTAGCAGGATATAAAATCAACACACAGGCCCTCCCTGGTGGCGCAGCG